TGATAGGTCTCCCAGCTATGTACCCCCCATCAAACTGTATGATTGTGATTTGTCCAGGGTGACACAGTTCAGGTACCTGAGTCACATAGTAAATTCGGAGTTAAAAGATGATCATGATATGCAAAGGGAGCGTAGGGCGTTGGCGGCCCGAGGGAATATGCAGGCTCGCAGGTCGCAGGAAGTAAAAGTTATTTTGTTTAAATCATGCTATCATTCGTTTTACTGTAGCGGCTTGTGGGCTAGGTGTATCCAAAAGACCTTCGGCGAACTACGCGTCCTTTATAAGGACACGTTTACTGTACTGTAGTGCATCTGGTATGTTTGCGGATGCTCACTAGATTGTTTTTATGCAGTAATGTGTCAAAAATAGATTCAGGGCGACGCAGAATGCTGGAGAGCCCCAACAGCGTACTCAGGATATATAGACCGGACAGTGCCTTACAGAGACATTAGATGTCGGCTGTTATAAATCGTTTATTAGTAATTAATTTAGATTTTTGATTGTATGTATTATTTTATTTTATTATTAAATTAAATTAATAATAAATAAAATAAATAAAATAAAATAAAATTATTACTAACATAGTTGTAGGGTTTTCTTGTAATGTACTAACACCATGGACCCATGTAGTCTATAAATACACAATTTTGAATTGAATTTGAATTGGAGAAGAGGTGTGCAACATATAGGACATGATAAGTGTTGGTACAGAAAAGTTCTAGACTATAATCGAGGCCAATAGTAATTAATTTGACTTTGAGTCTTATCGAGGGATATCTCTTATCTACAAATATTTAGGAATGCGTTTTCATTTGTTTACTTGTGTTATTATAGAATCTGTCTTTATCATGTGCATTTAGGTAACTAAATAAAATTGGACCCAGAACCGCTCCTTGGAGAACACTAGCGTTCTCGTAACAAAATTGGTCCTTGTAGATCAGAAGCCATTAATAAATGGGCCCAGTAGTAATCCTTGTGGGACACCCAATTTCAAACGTTTTAAAATAGTCGACCTACTTTAGTGTCAGCGGTGTATGACTTCACTTCTAATGACAAAAGTGTCAGAAGAAACTTTATTTAGTAGAGGGTATGTTCTATACTGCATTTTCCAAAGAGCGTCTAACGAAGCTAAATGCCATCCACCGTCGCTTGCTGCATCGTCTTTGTCATTTTTTGTTTAAACAAATGTAACCTTATCAATTAAAGTTTATTATTTAGAGCTACTTGTGATTTCATGACACCAGCACCCTGCTGGTGAAATTACAGGCACACGGGACTTGTCAACTGATGTCTCAGGGTGACGGGCGCGGTGTCCCCTTGCAACTGTTATGGATAGGCGTGTTGACCACCAGACACGACTTGTTCGTACCACCACTTAGTATTGTAAAAAAAAACTTTATTTAGTAGTGAATATTTTATATATATACACCGCCCGCCGCTTGCTGCATCTTCTTTGTCTTTTCTTTGCTTATAGAAATGTACCTTTATCTCGTAAACGCGCGTTCCACGTATAACGCCTTTAATAAAAATGGAAGTAAGTTAAATTGCTACTCTGCGAACCCTGTGAAGGTAAAATCGTGCAAAATAGCTGCGCTTGTGTTGAATATTTTCTCATGCAGTTAATTATCCCACCCTCCCTCCGCATAAAATTAATAAAATAACCAACACAAGCGCAACTACAGCCACAATTACAAGAAAAAAACAAAAATGTTTTGTGACTGTAGTTGCGCTTCTGTTATTTCAACAAGAGTCAACGGCTTAGCGGTGGCAACCGATAGTATAACCGCAAAGCGCAACGGGAAATGTGCGTGCGAACAGCTCCGGTATCTATCTGGACAACAGGGAGCCCAACCAACCCAACTTTAAGCCTTTTGGGCACCGGATAAAGTCTGTGCAAACGGACTGATCCGGGATCAGGACCTGACTGGGTAGGTCCCAGTGCGAGCTACCTTGCACAGGTGTTAGTATCCCTCCCGCATAAACAAGAGGTTGCTAGAGAGGGTCACTATAAACAAAACTTACGTAGAAAGTTATGGGACTATGCCCATTGACTTACAATTATATGGACGTCGGGTCCGCGCTAAAAAGTGTCCGAACTTATAGGGCGTTAAAATCGTATACAGAGCGTCATTCACGCTTTAGTCTTCGTTTGTTCGACTGACAGCGAAGCAAGCAAAATTAGACAGCACTGCGATGACATTACAATTTAAATTCAACGTTTTAGCTTTTTCATATTCCTTTATATGTCACTACGTTTAAATAGGTTGACTTGGGACATTTTTTCGTGGTTTTTGTATTAGACCCGTCGTACATATATTTGTAAGTCAATGACTATGCCTTTATGATTTGTTCTAGTATGCAATAAAAAATATTTTGAATTGTATTACAAAAACAATTTTCTTTGCATAGTAAAATATTTTATCGCAAATATCAATCATAATTACCATTATCCTGATTACCACCTGGGTGTTAATAAATTTATATTATATTTACCTATTACAAACTAAATCTGATTGTTTTCACAATTAGTCAGATTTAATGGTCAATCTTTGTAGGCCTCTTCAAAACTCCTGCACTGGCTTGTTTCACCCACATTTCAAACGCTGGAAAAAATAAAAAACAGAATCTTCTATCTCTGCGTCTGCACTATCACTATGAACTCTTTGTGAAAGAGTTCGTCTAGGGAAGTACTGTCGCCTTACTTATTTCTACCTCCAAGCAGTAATGTCAGCATTACTTCGTTCTGGTTTTGAAGGATAAGGGTGCTGGTGAAATTACAGGCACATGGGACAGGTCAACTTTTGTTTCAGGGTGACGGGCGCACTGGCAGTGCCCCTCAGATCTTTGCCATTCAAAGCTCTGAGTGACACTGCAACTGTTATGGGCAGGCGTGTTGATTTCCACCAGGCGCGCGACTTGTTCGTCCCGCCACTTAGAAGGTATTTATTTAACTGCCTCTGTGGCCGAACGGTTACCATGCTGGACTGCCACGCAGAGGTCCCAGGTTCGATTCCCGGGCCGGGCGAAATATTTGTATGACCTACATTTATTTCTCTCGTGAGTTTGGGTGTAATTTGTGGTTGTCTATGTGTGTGTCCATGGCACCCGCGACACAGGGTTTCCCTAGAGCGGGGCTATGTTGAGTGTGTGCGTTATTATTATTATTATATCATAAAAAACATAATATTATTATAATGTTCATTATTAACATAACCTTAAAAAAAATTGCATAAATCAACATAATTACAAATAAAATGAGATCCTGTGTCTACGATTGTTGGTCGTCAATTTTTTTAGCTGGCCCAGGACATACAGTCCTTTTCAGCAAGTTGGGCATTGTTCTTTGCAACAATGACCAAGTACAAATACTAATAATCTACGATCATACACTACAGATATAATAAATATAAATAGATTGAGGTGTAAAAGATTAGATACAGTAATCACAGCCCTACGCAATGGTTAATAAATATTTTATCTTCTAAGGTAATCTTTAATTGAGTTGTTAAGGACGGTTAACATGTATTAAAAACGATATTGAACATTGTTCAAGAACTACATCTGATAAATTCAAAATGCCACTGCCTACTTAACCCTACAAAGATAACCTACGTCGAAACGGCGTATTCGATTTTGAAAAATCGACGTGTGGTTATCTTTAACGTATTATAAAATGTGGTTATCTTTCTAGGGTTAATAACCCTAACCTGATTTTAATAATAGGGGAAATGACGGTCCGAAGTAGTCGTAGTATTATTTATATTCGAATAAAAGTACTCTCAAAGTATTTATCAGTATAATCAATCAACAATAGATGGGTAACAGAATTATAACATCACAACTTAACTTATCTTAGCAAAATATGGCTGCTCCCTCCTCGACTCGCCCGAACTTAACCTGCCTACCGACCAATCAAAAACAAAATCCGTCCGATCACTTAAAGCCTTCCACCAACGTGAGTTTTCAGCCTAACCTACCAAAAATCCCAGTTTTCAAAGTTGGCACTGTGTTCGTTGGACATTCTCTATTTATTAATTTTTTAGAATAAAGAACTTAACAATATAAGAGATTGAACAGTGTGCGGTTAGGTATTAATGAGGTGCTAGTGCTTGTCTGTCAATGTAGTTAGTGTGTGGTGTTGTATGCAACTAAAACCAACCGCCTGCAGTGCATGAAATTACTGTAAGGTCAAAAAATTAAACCTAACGGTGAGACCTCAAGAGTAGTCCCTTTGAATTATCTAATAGTGTAGCCCTACAACCTAACGGTGTGTAGCCTAACATATGAACGGGAAGTCTGTCACCAGGAGGCCTAAGGTGTTCTACTGCATTTGGGAGTTGCGACACACTAGGGTACTGATTTTTTTAAGACTTCAAAGTCAGGGCACCTAGTCACTGATAATGACGATGATGTAAAACCAAGGAAGAAATTTCACACGATACGTCTCGGGCCATCGAAAACTCCATCATGATTACCACCATGTAGCACATATGTATATTACTTAAGGCGAAGTATTCCAACGCGAGCCTAGACTTTAGAAGGTGAGGTGTCGCTTCTTGCGTCCCGCAATTTGCGCACTGCAAATTAATATAATAAAATAAGAAAAGGCGGAGACAATTTGACACAGATCCGACGTCAACAAGCGCCCGATGGCGACTGACTGGGTAGCGGGCGGCACGGCGCGTCTTTAAATCGGTGCGCATTTTGAAATTTTGGGATGAATGTGAATTTAATGGTTCCTTCTTTGTAGTAATTAAAGAGAAATATCTCCATTTAAAATGATGTGCAATTGATAGATATTTCATTCTTAAATTATTCGTTTTAGATTTTTATTTACTTTGGTTTCAGAATTTTAAATGATCGGATAAAGTACGACCAGGATCGTGTAATGAATTAGCACATTCTTTAGATCATGTACTTACCATTTGTATTGTATTAAAAATTATAACAACTGCAATAAATACTGTTCAAGCAAGTGCGCAATATAATGATAACAATCGTTTTATAACCAAGGCCCAATTGTGTAATTACTGCAAAAACTTAAACCATGAAATTAATAGATTGTTAAAATAGTTATACTTATTATTTTACTGGTAGTATCTGCCCAGCTAGGGACCATTCCATTTGTACCACAAAGCAGGTCAGATGTGGTCCTGGATTAAGGGCATGGACTTAGAAGTGGCGATATTAAGAGTCTATAGGTATAACCTCAAATTGTATCAATCACTTTGAAAAAATATATATTAAAATTGAGGATATATACTGATGACTATGCGATGTGTATTCCAAAAAATTTTCACTATAGGAAAAAACACAAACTTACCTCGAAATTTTACAAGAAAACCACTGTATTTAATAGGTATTTTGCACATACCAATGATTTCTTTATGATCATCTAAATAGAACATGTATATTATACGATATACATTTCTCAAACGGTTAAGAAAAAAATTCGTTTGAAAAAAAAAAAAAATCTCTAATAAAGTTAGCATGCCTGCCGTTCGACCCAAGCAAAAAAATTTGAATTCTAGGGGTAACATAGACTCGTACGTAATTCCTTTGATCTAGCAGAAGTTTTTCCCGCTTTTCCTCTGGTGACTTACAATACGTAATTCCATTCCCTTGAATATTTAGAATTAAACCCGCTATATTTCTAACTGGACGCGTGTATTATTTCTATAAATATCTAGTTTATAGAAATAATATATTATTAGCGAGGACTATTGGATCTATTTTTTTTAAAAAGAAATTACAAAACGCTAAAAGTAAAGATTTATTGAAATAATTAAGAAATTAACAAAGTAACGAGAGAAGCTAAATGATCGTGAGTTCGACGGCAAAGAAATGGGCGCGCGCTGCCGGCGTAGCGAGCTTAAATAAAACTGCCCTCTCCGTTCGCTCCATCGAGTGGCGTGATGTTGCAGGCCACGCCCACTAGACTAGGATTTTCTCCTAATAATATATTATAATCTAGTGTAATAATTAGGTACTATTATTGTTGCAGGAAATAACGAAACACAAATTCATATTCATATTATAATATATTTTTCCAAATTTTATTAAATAGCACGACTGAACAAACTGTTAAAATAAATAAAATATAATAAAAACAATAAAAAAGTACAATATTTTAGTATTCATTTTCACCGAAGCCTTCATTTTTTTATTATAATAAAAACTATCCCTACTTAAATAAATGTTTTATTATTATTATACATTATTTTTATTTATAATAAACATTTCTTTTATTATAAATATTAGGTCACTGGTAATTATAATGCATTTTTGACTACAACAGTGAACTTAATAATATAATAATATTTTTGTAGCCATAGACCAATGACCCGAGCAAAAATAAAAAAATATAGGTACTTAGGTATTAAATAAGTCTGTGAAAAAATATTGACGCTTTTGATTTGTTTTACAGCAAATAAAAAAATACTAAACCAACTTGTGAATAAAACTATTATAGAAAAAAAACCAATTAGTAACATCAAAATCAGTTTAGTAATTTCTAATTGCTATATAATAAATATACATATCATTTCAATACATTTGTTTTGTAATTTGTTATTTTATATTTCATTTAAACTTCTGTGTATATCTTGTTCGAGCACGTTATTACATTTATTATATATAATTTGTATATATTATATATTTTTTATATTTTTAAAACACTTATTTAGTCAAGAGTATAAAAAATATACAAAAAAACCTACTTATATTATACACGTTGTTTGCTAATTGCAAATATAATTTTATTTTTATATAAATATTTAGATAACAAACAACGTATGATAAAATAAAGAGTATTTTTACTAAAAACACGAATTTCATAAGCCTAGACAGTCTTAAATTATATTTACAATTAGAAGGGTTCAATATAAACTATTTTTGAAATAATAAATAATCCTATTTTTAAATAAATATAAAATTAATGTTAATTTTGTATATTATGTTCCGTTAAATATAAATATGATACATATTATCGTCGTACCCAAAAATGTATTAGTTAAGCGCGCTTCACCACTATAGAATATACATCTATAGTGATGAAGAGAGCAGAATGTAATGTGGAAATAGTACCACTTATGAAAATTGCTTAATAAGGAATACATAGTAAAACGAGATGTTTTCTCACTAATGTTGAAACAGGCGCCAAGCAATTTTGCGTTGTAATAAAATTACATATCTACTATAAATTTTATAAGAGTAAAAGTAATCTTTCTAAATAATATTTTATGAGAAATTATATTTTATTTATGTACTAGTATAATGTTAATAATAATATGCAAAATTTATTACGACAGATTGATAGATACATTCTTTATGTATGCAAATGTAAGCCCCCGATGAAACGACCTCATTTTATTACATATATATTTCTTATTATAATATAAAATTATCGTATACAATAATAAATTAGATTATAATATAATATTACAATTTATTTCTTATCATAACATAAAATTATTGTATGCAATAATAAATTATATTAGAATATAATATTACATGATTAATTTATAATTGTTTGTATATACATATATTATATTTTTATATATTTATTTTCTTCCAAGACAGCATGTACGTCAGATGCGTTTGTTGTTTGATATAAAATATATACACATTGTCGGCGTTACGTATACGTGTTATGCAATTATGTATTTTAAAAGTATGTATTTTATTTGAATAGTTTCATTTATTTTAATTATCTTTATAATTATATAATTATGTGTACTATATACTACAATAAATATTATGACAAAGTTATAATCCTATAATTTCTTAATATTATTTGCGTTCGATATGTTTTCAATAATTGTTTTAAATTAATTTCGATTACATTCTCGTATATATTCTTAAGTATATTATAAATTGTTAATACAATTTAAGTGGCGTTAATATAGTACTTATCGTTTACAAATATGTAAATTTGGACATATTATTATTATATTATAATTTAGTATATTTTAATGTTATGCTATATAATATATATAAATTATAATACTATAATACTGTATAATATATGACAAAATAGCTATAATAATTATATTATTCTAATTTCATTACATCCGAGAAATTTATTGGGGTAAATCCTTCAACGGTATTAGCTTCGGTGTTTCGATAGCCTCGCAAGTGCAGAAGCAGTTTTTATGTTTTGGTCCATTTGGCAGCATTATGACCTTCAGGTTCATGTTGGTCTCCAGCGCGTGTAAGATTTCTGAAAACCAAAATAGCACAGTTATTTTCTATACTTTAAGTTTGCAATGTCATAGTCAGTTATACCATACGTAAAATAAATTTACACTTGAAAACGTCATTTTTTTAAGCTACTGCCCATTCATTGTGCTGACTTCGTGTTCTTTTGAAATGAACTTAAATAGGAAATGATACTATTTCTCACGGTTGACTGTTACTGTTACAGTCAACCGTGACCATGGGACCCGTAAAGGGCCCGAAACGTCGGTTTGGTTGAAAAAACAAATATACGCGATTTAAATCCGGAAAAATAGTTTCATTTCCTATGTGTAACAATCGCGAAAACCTAAGAACTCGATATGAACTTAAATGCTATGAAAAACACTTTGAATTAAATTTACGTGTGGAGTCTAGAGCCATTCTCGTCTTTCCATACATCGTTATCTACCACGTAGTCTTCAATATCGTAACATGACTTTTCAATTAATAATATAATTTTTTGTAAATTTTTATTCAAGCTTTCTTTTTCATTAGAAATCTGTATCAAAAGTGTTTTTTCGACGCTAGCGTCGAATTGATAACGGTAACTAATTTTGTTTATTAAAACCGATTTGTAATAGTTCAACTGTTTTTCATTGCAGATTTGCTTATCAAATAACTATTATTCAATATCATGTATTTATTACTGTGATATTTATATTTTTTGTGAAATAGGTACTCCACTAGTTTGTTATTTTTGCTACAAAGATAAAAGAAACACAAAGAAATATTTTTTTTTGATCCGGCTGGATTCGAACCCAGACCGGGGTAACCGATCTGTCAACTTAGCTACAGAACGAATCAGCTAACGTCACAAGTTCCTTTTGTGATTGTTACTGGGTTTTGGTTTTGTGTTATTTTAACCAACTTTAAAAAAGGAGAAGGTACTCATTTCGACTGTATTTCTTTTTGTATAGATGTTGTGCGATTGGGAACCGATTGTATATGATTCTTTTTTGTTGGATGGGTACCTCAATATTGGTCCTATTTAAATTTGAAAAAAGAATTAACTATAGAATAAGTAAAAGTAAATAAGTATTACCTCCAAGGGTAGAAAACTAGGGGATAAATTAGGTTAAGTGGTTGTTTCCAATTGATTTTTGACAACCACTTTCCGTTAACCGTCTTCATTAAAACTTGACAAATAGATTCCACAAACTTTTGGATGCAAAGTTGAATTTTTGTTTTTTTGTTTTTGTTTTTTTTGGTTGTTGAAGTGTTTTTTTTTTTATAAAAACAGGTATTTTATTCATTCATCAAGTAAGATATCAGGGGGCCAACCATAACCTTTCAAAAAACAATCCTTTCCAAAAAAAATTTCAAAAATCAATGTAAGCTTATAGTAATTATAATAATAGTTAATTATAATATTATTCATATTCGTACCATGACAAACCTATCAACCAAGTAATGTATTATTGCTACGGTGACTGAAAGAATGAATGTTTTCCCAATATTGTCTATTTCTTACTAAAATAATCTCAGTACAGAGTACTAAAAAAACCGACCTCAAAAGTACGTGGCATTACGTCTATTTGCTAAGTTTTTTGAAATATCCTTAAATTCGCCACTATACAGGACTTGATACTGGAGATAATAAAAAATCGTTTCTCACTACTCAAAGAATATTGAGAGAAAAACGCATTGAATTGGAGAAAAAGCAAAATCAACCATTAAAATAAATGCTCCTTAAGAAAATTTAGGCGCTATTTATAAAAATGAATCTTCATGCGTGAACAGCCTCCCTTAGAGGTGGATGATTCCTTCAAAATGAAATGGGACCACTATGGAAGTACCCCCTTTCCAATAAAAAAAGAATCATGAAAATCGGTTCACAAATACCGGAGTTATCGCGTAACATACATACAAAAAAAACTTACAGTCGTATTGAGAACCTCCTCCTTTTTTGAAGTCGGTTAAAGAGGAAAGAAATAACTCTATATGAACTGTAAAATACTATCTCTTTCTTTTTGATGTTCCGAATCATCCTATCGTAGTATAATGTTCAAGTAGGTACTTAATATTATTTACATTTAGAGAATTTTAACTGCCAAAAAAAGAAAAGTATGTAATAATGAAATCTATTAAAATTACGTTGTTTTCAATTATTTTTCCGCATTTTCATAACGAAGAGCAAATAAAACAAGCTGAGTCTTGATTGTCACGTTGTAAATTCGGAATTATAGTCTAGTGTCAATTGTTAGTGTCGCCAAGGCGCATATAGACGGCGCTGTCATAATTTTACGCAATAAACATTGCGTATTTTATTTGACGAGAAACATTGACTTACAATTATATGGACGTCGGGTCCGCGCTAAAAAGTGTCCGCACTTGTAAGGCGCTAAAATCGTATACAGAGCGCGACACTCCGCTTTAGTCTTCATTTGTTCTACGGACAGCGCGATACTGCGATGACATAACAATTAAATTTCGAATAGGTTGACTTGGGACATTTTTTTCGTGGTTTTTGTATTAGACCCGTCGTCCATTTATTTGTAAGTCAATGACGAGAAAGATTAGATTTAGACAGATTTCTAAATTTGACATAAGAGCAATATTACTTTAATGTTAAAGTCGCGTCATAGTATGAACTGAGTGAATGAATAGTCCCAAAGCTGCCAATAAATCATCATAGTTTTAACATTATAATAGGCTTACTTTGAGCGCGTCATGGTACGAAAACTAGTAAGGTTGTTGTAGGCCCCCAGCCTCTTTTAGAATGTCAAATAAAAATTTATTCCATAGGTATAATTTTTACACTTGAAAACGTCACTACGGACATTATGGACAATATAAAAAAATTACCACTTTTTAATTGTTATTTTCATCATTTCATCGATTAGTTTGGTTTGTATACTAGTTACAAAACGTGAGAAAAGCGCAGATTCTAAATTCTTACCTCGTTTTCCGTGGTGTAAAGCAAGCTTACCACCCTTCTTAACATCAATTGGCTGGGGTGGTAATCGCCTTGGCCTTCCAGGCTGTCCTGGTCGTGGTGGTCTTTTTAATAATTCAGAATCGTAGGTGTCATTTTCTACAATCTTTTTGCTTTTTGAAATATTTTCTTCTATTGGTTTGGGTTTCAATGGTCCTGAAAGCTCATCTTGGTGGGGCTGACCTGGTCGCTGAGGTTCACAAGGTTGTTGTGGGCGATTTGGTTGATGTGGGCGCCTTGGATGATGTCGGTGCCCAGGTCGTCGTGGGCGCTTAGGTTGTTGCTGGTGCTCACGTTCCTGTGAGTGCTCAGGGAGTATTTGGAGCTCAGGTTGTTGTGGGTGCTCTGGTTTTTGGGGCTGCTCTGGTTTTGCTGGGTGTTCAGGTTTCTGTGGGTGCTCAGGCATCTGTGGGTGCTCAGGATGTTGCGGGTGAGCAGGTTTTTCTGGGTGCTCAGGTTGTTGTGGATGCTCAGGTTTCTGTGGGTGCTGAGGTTGTTCTGGATACTCAGGTTGTTGTGGATACTCAGGTTGTTGTGGATGCTCAGGTTTCTGTGGGTGCTCAGGCATTTGTGGGTGCTCAGGATGTTGCGGGTGAGCAGGTTTTTCTGGGTGCTCAGGTTGTTGTGGGTGCAAAGGATGTTGCGGTTCAGCAGGTTTTTCTGGGTGCTCAGGTTGTTGTGGATGTTCAGGTTTCTGTGGAGGCTCAGGTTTCTGTGGTTGGTCAGGTTTCAATGGCTGCTCAGGATTTTCTGGGTGCTGAGGTTGTTCTGGATTCTCAGATTGTTGTGGATGCTCAGGTTTCTGTGGGTGCTGAGATTGTTCTGGATACTCAGGTTGTTGTGGATGCTCAGGTTGTTGTGGGTGCTCAGGTTTATGTGGGTGCTCAGGTTGTTGCGGGTGCTCAGGTTGTTGCGGTTGCTCAAGTTTTTCTGGGTGCTTAGGTTGTTGCGGGTACTCAGGATGTTGCGGGTAAGCAGGTTTTTCTGGGTGCTCAGGTTGTTGTGGATGCTCAGGTTTCTGAGGGTGCTCAGGCATCTGTGGGTGCTCAGGTTGTTGTGGTTGCTCAGGTTTTTCTGGGTGCTCAGGTTGTTGTGGGTGCTCAGGATGTTGCGGGTGAGCAGGTTTTTCTGGGTGCTCAGGTTGTT